AGAATGGTGAGAACTGGCCAAAGAGTAGCCCTTTCCCTCTCCCAAGACATCTCCAGGGTACAAGGGCAGTGATCTTCCAGGGACTCCAACTTTCAGAAAGTCATGTACATAAATCAAATCCAGAAGGAAAAGGCCAAACGCAGCGTCACTGGAACAAGACAGCAGTGCACCTCATTAGGAGCAATACCGATCAGCTGCTGTCAGCTCAGCTCTCTGCACCACCAGCGCTGTGTCTCTAAGCTAACACTGTATTTCCTTGCATTCCTTCGTATTTTCAGCCTAAGAAAAAAAATCAATGCGATCATCTGAGAAACACACAACCGGTCGTTTAAGACAACCCTACATGCGCAATTGGATTCTGGTATTTCTGAACTTAAGGAGCTTTGATCAAAAAGTGAGAATTTGTCTTGGCTGTGCTTCATATTTACTTAGTTGTTGTGTTGTACAAATGCAAGCGAAGGCACGGCCTTTGCTCAACGGCAAAGGGATCCCTGCTGCAGTAACCACTGCCTCTGTCACGCTCGAGTGGGAATGAAATGCAGAACATTTCAGCTTAAAAGAAAAGTGGTGAATTACAGCACGTCTGTGTCTACAAGACAACACCTTTGACCAGAAAGCACAACGCTTGCAGACAGACACAAGTATAAAATAATGGCAGTGATGAAATGTTGTTGCAACTTGATCTACAGGTTTGCTATTGATTCTGTTTGGTCTCACCTTCTCCTTCTTGGTATGGACACAATTTGCTGAAGTTTGGCTATGAACACATACAGAAAGCCTATAGCAAGTTCACTACAAGCCTTTATGTGAGAGATAAGGTTTACCTACCATGCTACTATACCACAAGACTGCCAACTCCAGGCCAAAGAATAGCTTAGATTTATTAATTTTATAGTCTGGATATTTCACTACATAGAAGAGGGAAAAAAAAAAAAATCAGTCTAAACAGACTATAAATACTTCGCATTACATGGATACTCTCAATTGATTTATGCTTTAATAATAAAACTGTTAAGCTCTGCATTTTATTTGTTACCTCGCTCTTCAGAGAAGGCCTTTGTTGAATCAAAAGTAGCTACACCACCGTTTCTCTAGAAAGGAAGGAATAAAAGGCTGTTTACAGAAGCAGCACGCCATAACCACGCAAGGTGTCCTTTCTTGTGCTCATGCCATCTCATCCAGGAATATATAACATGTTTTTTTACTTTTACATACAAGCAAAGATTGCCTTGGTGGAAACGTGGCACGGATTTAATTCACAAAGCAATCAATCAGATCATCTTTTAAATCTTGGTTACCCATTTGTAGAACAAATATTAATGCATGTCTACCACTATATATCAATATCTCCCTTTTGTATCAAATTAAGTAGAAAAAACCCAGAATTTCACAGAAATCACCAAGAGGTCAGACAACACTAGAACACACAGCAGTATGTAAGATTTGTTTTAAAGAAAAGGACTGTACCTGGGGGTGAGTTTTGTTCATGCTTCCCAGAGCTACAGCCCTCACAGCAGCTCAGAGGACCGCAGGGAGTTTTCTGCACCTCACCAGGACTGATGTTACCAGGATACAAAACCCAACAGAGGGAGGAAAGCGAGGAGCGTGCTGCTGCCCAGGCACGCAACCAGGGGAGGATGGGGAAGGCAGGACTGAGCACAGGCAGAGCAAATCCTCCAGGATCCTCTCTTTTTACTGGCGTACTCCAATTTCCAGCCCGGCAGTTAAGTCTCAGCAGTTCCGCCAGTGGCCAGCATAACTTAAAAACAGACTGCAGCCTCCTCAACTGGCTGCAGGTCTCAGCAGCTTTGCAGCTTCAAGGGGAAAATGTCACGAGCAAGCAGTTTTGCCATGGTGGAGAAAACGCATGGGCATAACGGGCTGCAAGGAGCCTGTGCCCTTCCTGCTTGCAGGAGGCTCCAATGGACTCAAGTGCCCCTGAATTGTTGCCACCTCACAGACCACGACTCTTGCCCAACCACTAGCAAAACTAGCTTACCAGGGCTTTGGAGGAGAAGCTGGCAGCTGTACTGCCTACAAGTCGGCCCCGAGGCAGTTGCCTCAAACTGATTCAAAGCACCAAACAACGCCCGACCTGGAGGAACAACTACAGCTACTTCCCTCTCCACTCCACCTCCCTCAACTCATCCTCGGTTACTTTAACATCAAGTTAACATACCCTTCTTGACGAGGGCATCTGCCAGCCCTGCACTCACCTGCTCACAGACCAGCCAGATTTAAATATTGTCTTTTAGGAGCTCCTCCTCTAGCCAAGGTTCTCACAGGAATACATCACTGTTAAACCTGGTGCCAGAAAGCTCTCCTGTTCCAAGGGGGGTTTTGGGTGAAAACACCAACCACCACGTAGCAAACAGCCTGCAGGTCCGGGCATCTGCTACCAGTATGGAAGAGGGACAGACTAAGGGTTAAAACCAGCATATCTTAAATTCTGGATCTGTTTCTCTTTTTAAGAGGAAGTTTTAGTTTCTAATCAGACTTGACATACAAGGACTATTTTGAGCCGTCAGAAAGCTCACTAGGTGATGGGGAGTTTGCCAAGAGTCCCACGTAACAGCCAGATCAAGCAGGCCAGCTACACATACCCCTCAGAACAACTATGATAGAAATGTTTAAAATGTGGAGTACATCTGCTCTTAAACACCAACGGCCATAAGAGCTGACACCTACCACCATCTATTGCCTACGTAAGATTACCACACTTCGCTGTAGCCAACCAGGTAGTTGGATTTTAGAGCCGTTACCCCACATCAAAGGCTGCTTGTAGTTCAGAAAAACGAGTCCACGAGAATGAGGTAACAAACATGAGCAAGCCCTTCTGAAGTTAAAAAAAAAGTGTTCGCCAAAGATCTGAGACGCTGAAGTGGGAACACAGATCAAGATACTCGCTATGACAGGAGACTATTGCAATTCTAGCACCTGAAAAAACCCCAGGCCCCGCCCCTCAAACGTACCATGGCTATTTCTCCCAGCAATGAATTTCACACACTTGGAGGCTCATCTCATTTGTGTCAAGATTAAATTTAAAATCTGATACAAGTTCAATTGAACACATCCCTATAGAGAATCTAAAATGCTCTCCTCCTACAATTTCAATAATTTAAGGCCCTCCACTTAAACAGTGGTCTTGGACAGAGATCAAACCCAAATTGCAGCTTCTGAAAACGAAGATGTCAGGAAGTCAAGCATTTAACCAAAAATGAGTAGGGCAAGACATTTTGCAAAGTCAAATGTCGAGATGGCTTAAATAGTCCACTTAGGCAGAAAACTTGAGAAGCGGTTCAATTACAGCAGCCTAGCCAGTATCTGGTTTTACTTAGGGAAGATACTTTTGACAAGAGCTTACAAGTACAGCCCTTATTCCTCAGACTCTTGTCTCACTCCGGGAACAGCAGTGCCACAGGCAGGGTTCCCTGTGACCTAACTGCACGTTACTGAATGCCCGGCTTTGCCACACCGATGACTTCGCTAAAATGTCATTAAACAGCGAACAAAAGACAAAACGTGGTAAAACTTGCGCTGAGTTTTCTCTCTTTGTTGCAGGCAGATACAAATGAAAGCAGAAGTTGTGTGTTTCACTCAAACCTAGGAACATCAGAAGGAATAAAGCCAAACGTTTTGGAAGAGAAAGCTTTGTGAAACAGAGTCATCACCATAACCGAGGTGGCACCGTACACATTTGAAACGGGCAAATAGCCATGTTTTTATGAAGCTCTAACACTCCCTCTGCAACTACATGTAAGTCAGAGAAAACATTTTAACAGAACTGAAAACATCTCCACGTTAGCAATACAGTTAGTAAAACTGGGATTGCTGAAGTCTTTTCTGGAAAGGCAATCCCAAACAACACAGCACTAACATGACAGGCAGGAACCGCTGAAGTAGAGCCCGTATTTACAAAGTGATTTTTCGAACATCCGTTGCACACGTCACATTTGATATTGCTCAAAGCGAAAAGCTGGCACGGAAAGGGGGCCGCACACTGAGGTTTGCACTACACGAGCAGAAACGCACGTCTCGCCTGAGTCACTGCTGCAGACAGAGGGATTTCCTGCACATGCCATCCTGCAAGTGAACAGTGTTCCGGAAACATCACACCATCGATTGCCACAACAGTCACGTCTGAGGCCTTTGCAATAATGCCACCCGCACACAAAGGCACCTGTCAGCGGCTGCTGGCACCCGAGCTTCTGGGCTACGATGTCACACTGAAGAATTGAGTGTTGAGAGGTACCAGTAATGTAACACTTCAAATTGCAATTTCTGCTTTGATAGAGGGCTGTTTACGGCAAACATCTTAATGCCCTTAAGGCTCATTGACAGAAAACCTGCTTGAGTGCTTCTAGGTTCAGGTTTTAATGGCCCCTGCAAGGCTCTGTCACCTGCAGTTGTGCAGGATCAGCGTTAGTTACAGCCGAACTAGAAACAACCGACTGAGCCTTTTAACAGTGAGGGAACGCTACACTGTATCCTCCAGAACCTCCACAGTTCTCACTAGAACTCAAAACCTGAAGAGACAGTGTGGTTTTTTTGTTTGTTTGTTTTAAAACCTTCAAGGGAGTTCCATATAATGAACAAAGTACAATGATGAGCTGGAGATCATGCTTCCTAACCAGCTTTCGAACACTTACAGAGACCTTAAAAGAAACCACACACATGCCCAGCTCATCAATTCTGCGGGAACCAGCATGCAATTATCTCCTCAGAGAGCTGCAAAAAAATATTAAAGCATGAGAGACATTTTTAGTGGTTGTCTGTTTAGTGAATCACATAGCAAAATCAGGCCACATTGCCCATGAGAGGAAGGCCACTACAGGCTTTCAAACCGAGTATGCTGTGGTCAATAAACAACCATAGCAAAAAGCTACACAGTCAACTTTTTCTATACAGTCAGTTTTATTTGTCTGTTCTCATTTCTCAGGAATCGACCTTTTTTTCCTGTAAATGAAGTTACAAGACTAGAATAGTTAATCAAGAACAGAAAGTAGAATTTCTTCCGAAAACACAGGTGCTAACTTACAAGCAATTTAAGACTTAAGTTTGACAAAATAATTGACCATGTTATGTTCTGTATGTGAAGGTGTATGTCCATAAGCTTTAATAAAGTTTCCATCTTTCACAGCTGAGTTCTAGCCTACAGTACCCCAAAAATGCTTTCCATCTTGGATATTGCCACACTGTAGAAAAAAAAAATACTTCTATTTCTGGAGACAAAGTTGTTTGTGCATGGACTTTAACAAGTACAAAAATTCAGCAGATGATTTTATAATATTTTCTCTTAACTACAACAGAAAGTGCAACACTAAAAAGGCATCTCCTGCCTACTTAAAATTTCTTATACTTTTAAAAAGCTAACTCTGAATGTACACATTACATCCTAGAACACACAAATAAGTTTGAAAATGTCACGGCTGAAGTATGGAAAGCATGCTTACAGCTTTTGTAAGCAAAAAGACACAGAGTAAACACCAGTGAGAAGTCGTTAGGTCTGGAAACAAACATAAATTCAGGATGTCTGAATCTTCACTACTAGTTGGAAACAAAATCCCATGACATTTGTTGATTCTGTAAATTTATTTGCATTTATAGACTAAGCTTCTTATCTGAAGAACCACCACAATCAATCAGCAGTTGCTAGCTCTGTTAGAATTAGTCTGTCGGATCCAATGGAGACTTATTTAAATCGCTGATTGAGCCAGATTGACTTTTGTAGGAAGAGGTCCTGCTTCTTCATGTTCCTCAGTCTTGCATCTAACCACAACAAGTGCAGAAGACGGGTATCTGTTCAGTTTTTGTTCATTCATGTATTCCAAATCTCCATAGATGCTCAGCTTCTGAAATATTTAAACAATTTACTTTAAGACAAACACACTCCATACTGCAAGACAGGCTTCATAAAGCAACTATATTCCCGGTTCTGATGGCTGCAGTCCTTTTAACCCAAATGAACCCTGGCTTTCTGTAACATCTGAAATACACAGCTGGAACTGGATTTGAGTCCAAAAGAATCATATTAAGCCTGTCAGAACAACAGGAGATATGGTGCTTGTGTACCAGCTCCTTTAGTCTGCAAATACTGTGAGCCTTGACCCTGTCAGAAGCGCGGGGATCTCGCTGGACACAGGCATGTCAGTTCAGCCAGTTCCCCTCTGATCACCAATAATAAGCTCTCACTTCTGTTCTCACTATTGAGCCTCCTGGATTAAACCCACACTGGGTTCCACCTACACCACCCAAAGCTCAGCATAGCTTTATTTCCAGAGAAATCAGAAGCAACCTCCATTTGTTAAGAGTAATTTGAAGACTGACAAGAGAAGAGCGCTACAAACCAAAAGACATCATATCTGGGCTGCCTAAGTAAGGCTCTGGGCACTGATCAGCCACAGGAATAAGCGAGAATTGGTTCAGCTATAAAAATCTTCATTTAAATAACGAAAATGGTTTGTTAACTGCATTTGCAAAATAAAAAA